TCTCTCTCGCTCTCTCTTTCTCTCTCGCTCTCTCTCTCTCTCTCTCTTTCTCTCTCTCTCTCTCTCTCTCGCTCTCTCTTTCTCTCTCTTTCTCTCTCTCTCTCTCTCGCTCTCTTTCTCTCTCTTTCTCTCTCTCTCTCTCCCGCTCTCTCTTTCTCTCTCTCTCTCTTTCTCTCTCTCTCTCTCTCTCTCGCTCTCTCTCTTTCTCTCTCTCTCTCTCTCGCTCTCTCTTTCTCTCTCTTTCTCTCTCTCTCTCTCTTTCTCTCTCTCTCTCTCACTCTCTCTCTCTCTCTCTCTCGCTCTCTCTTTCTCTCTCTCTCTCTTTCTCTCTCTCTCACTCCTGTATGGGCCTACATGGTGTGAGCTCTCTGGTTTTAGTCTCTCTCTCTCTCTCTTTCTCTCTCTCTCTCTCTCTCTCTCTCTCTCTCCCTCTCTCTCTCTCCTGTACTAGCCTATATGTTGTGCGCTCTCTGGTTTGTGGTCGCTCTCTCTGGTTTTTAGTCTCTCTCTCTGGTTTTGCTCTCTCTCTCTCCTGTATGGGCCTCCATGTTGTGCGTCTCTGGTTTGTGTTGCGTTGCTGGTGTGGGTCTCAGTTTGAAGTCCTCAGATGAAAGAGCCAGAGTCAGATCCGTCCTGATCAAAGAGGAACACGGAGAGGAAAGGTACATGAATAATTAACACTTTGGCAAATACAGACCTACGTGTGCGAGAAGCAACCAGCAGAGAAACCTCCGCCGAGAGGACCATGTGGAGACACCAGATTACACTTTACATTATAAAGAAGTCGGCTTTAAGTGGAAGATTCTGTTTATATTTGAGGTTTCACAGAGTTCCGCTGGTTTTGCTCCTGAGAAGATCGAGCTCTGTGCATCGGTCTGAAACCATCGTCTGAACACACACTATTAACAGGTTGATGGTTTTATACCCACTTAAAACTGTATCAGTACCAGTTGATTAAGATACTGAAACTATCTGTGCCATATTCTGGAAATGGTCTCTCTGGTCTCTCTGGTCTCTCTCTGGTCCCTCTCTGGTCTCTCTCTCTGGTCTCTCTCTGGTCTCTCTCTGGTCTCTCTCTGGTCTCCCTCTGGTCTCTCTCCAGTCTCTCTCTGGTCTTTCTCTGGTCTCTCTCTGGTCTCTCTCTGGTCTCTCTCTGGTCCCTCTCTGGTCTCTCTCTCTGGTCTCTCTCTGGTCTCTCTCTGGTCTCTCTCTGGTCTCCCTCTGGTCTCTCTCCAGTCTCTCTCTGGTCTCTCTCTGGTCTCTCTCTGGTCTCTCTCTGGTCTCCCTCTGGTCTCCCTCTGGTCTCTCTCCGGTCTCTCTCTGGTCTCTCTCTGGTCTCTCTCTGGTCTCCCTCTGGTCTCTCTTATTCTATTAAAAAATGACGTGTTCAAAATCCCTTATAAAGATGACCATGATTCAGAAAGTTAAATTTCAAAAAGGTTTATTTCCCTAATACAAAAAGAATCTAAAACAGCTGTTCGGACCAAAAGTAACTATCCCTCGTAAATCGTTCATGTTTGTCTCGAGATATTTGCCACTATATGTTTTGCTGTTGTGCTGGAAAACTATTTAATATACCATGTATTTCCAACAAGAAGAACTGTGTTCTTTATTCACAGCATCCCAGTTGGTTGAAATGACAATATAAAATAATGAATCCATAAAACTATCACATAAAACTACAGTAGAAACACGGGTAATGAGCTCAAACAGCTTTGTTTGTTATTGTTGTTCTGGAAAGAGTAAAAGTAGCAGCGTAAAAATGGGACCAATCCTGTTGATCGGCCCTCATGTGTTTGTTGTGGGGTTTACAACATTCTCCTAAAACCTCGTCAAGGGGAACGCGCCAGTATAACATCAATTGGGGCTTACGTAGGGGTCCCACCGCACAGCTTAAGTAAGCCTCGCGCGAAGTATACACTAGGCTTTAGAGCGAAGATCCAGAGGAGCAGAGTTAGTGGCACTAAAGTGTGGATTTAAACAAAACCGAAGGATTTAGAAGAAAAAAAGTTCAGGGATGACAGGGACACTAAAATACCCACAAAATCCGATTTTATTAACGCTGTAGGTATCTCTGTCAGCTGGGTCGAAGCTGTTTAATATGCATGAGTTCTATGGCCGAAAAAAATTCATGGGTAGCCCACGTGAATTTAGTCATGATCAGTATGCAGTACGCGAGACATCCCTTGAGCACGTGAGTTATTCAGCTAAAAGCTAGTATACCCTATCAGTTAATATAATACATCCATGGTTCTAAACTAATGGGCCAAAAATATGCTCTACGGGAGCAATCCAAAATGGCGCGAGTGGTCCCGCCCACAAGGAAATTGTGAAAAAAACGCATCTGCGCATGGCGTCAGCGGCGCAGTCCAATCATTTGACGTAGAGACTTCAAAAATTACAGCAATTAAGTAAATAGAGTGGACCAAAAAATCACCCCCCTCAGCATTGACACAATGTGGAACGGAGCTTTGGGCCAAGAGCCAACTTTCGGTCCATCTGTAAAGACGTTTTGAGAGGGTTGCCAATGTAATGTTAGCATTGGAATTCTTCTTCTAGGTCCACCCCCATCGGCCCGGTGTGGTATTGCAGCCACTTTGTTCAGCGCACGTCATTTTGGCCACTTTGAGCTGGGACCCTCCCCCCTGGTCAGAACGGAGTATGTTATTGCACCCACGCCCACTATTGAGAAGGACTGGTCCATGTAAGTACTCAAAAGCGCTTTCTAAGACTCAAGTGATAGTACGCATTTTTCTGTATTTTTCAGGCAATGCATACTGGTACCACTTATGTCGCACCCCAGATTATAGGGCAAGAACGCCTCTCCATCTTGAAATAAATTTGACACGCACAATTCACCTTATGATTGACATTGGGAGGAACAATAGTCTTGATGATCCACCAGAAGAAGATAATCCTCCATATACCTTTTTAAGTCGAAAATATTGTACTATTCAAAATACTTGGGTTTGATGTACTTGCGTTACTCTCCAAACACACGGGTTACTCACTGTTCTTCTTGGTTTCCCCATTGCAGAATGCTGCTGGATGGTGACCCACATCCTATGAAATCATAATCACCGGTTGAAAAATTCAAGTCCAGAGCAAGAAGTTGGGCTCCTTTGGACTTCTGCAGCCTTTCTTTGGGAAAAGTGTCTCCTGTTTGTACTGACTTTACAACATACTTGGAGAACCTTAAAGTGCCAGAACGAAATTCTGGGGACCAAAGCAATTTTGAATAAAATGCTTTTTAAAAATGCCTTTTCTGGCATTAGCATGTTCCTTGTTGATATCGTGGAAGTTACTGAGTGTGTTGTGCTCTTGACATTTTAAGTTAGCTTTAAATAAGCTATTACCCGATTTTTTTTCGAATAGTTGATAACAAAGGCTTATACTACTACCAGAGGTGGGACAAAGTCATTGTTTAGCAAGTCACAAGTCAGTCTCAATTCATTGCCCTCAAGTCCCGAGTCAAGTCACGAGTCAAGACAGGCAAGTCCCGAGTCGAGTCCAAGTCAAAGGCCAACAAATCTCAAGTCAGTCCCAAGTCCTACGGTTTGACTTTCGAGTCCTCTCGAGTCTTTTTGACCGCGATTTGTTTCTTGTTGGTGTCCACGTACTTTTGTAGGCAAACAAAATAATGTTAGGAATCATTTTGCTGGTGCATTCTCGTTGGTCTCTGACCCATGGACTAACAGTTTGTTCCATGTCGTTGGCTGCTGATAAATCAAAACTATCTACGTGATCTAATTGGATGTTGTGCCAGATGCAGGCTCAGTTACACATGCACAGACCACACATAAAATCAGAGCAGTCCGTGTCAACATACTTTTTATCTTTGGGGTTTTTAATGGGAAGTAGCAAGTGCAGCATATATGAATATGAGTATTGGGCTAGGACCTGTATCTATATAATCAGTTTAATGTCCGTAGTGGTTATTGTTCCAAATGTCCTACTGTAGAATAGGGGTAGTATGAGGGGTCTAGGCTTTGGACCTGGGGCAGCTCGCCATCAACTGGACCAGCATTAGCAATATCTCATAATTACCAATATATCATTACATAATAAAATGTCTCATATAAATTAATTCAATCAGTCAAAGCACTGATTCTCATATCAATGCACCATAAACAATAGTGCAAATATTAATCTAGCTTAGTGCACATAATCAAAACAACTATCTAATGTATGCAAACTTTAGCAGGAGGAGCACAGCAAAAACATACTCATAATAATAGGCCTCTGCGCCCACACAGAAAAATATAAGAAATAGCTAACAGAGCAGCGCAGGCTAGCGCTAGTTTGACTCACCAGTTCCTCTTTAAAACACGGCACAGAGTGTGACAACTGCGTCGATTCAATTGTATGAGGCGCCTGTAGTGAAAGCATATCAATTACGGTTTGTAGAACAAAATATGACGTTAGGTCGCGATAAATACCTGCAGCTCGCTCATTTCCAGCTCCCCTACGACAACACACCCACCGGTGAATGCAGTCCGCTTGTTTAGGGAAGTGTTGCTGCGCGAACTGCGGGGAACTCACGTTCGAACTCTCTCGCGAGCGCTACAACTACCGCGAGGCTTTGTTTCTTCAGAGACGGCATAGATAGAAAGAGAGATGCGGAGAAAGGTAAAAATGGCCCGGGTTACGCAAGTCTTTACAAGTCAATTGGCGCAAGTCCAAGTGAAAGTCAGAGTCATTGATGTTAAAGTCCAAGTCGAGTTGCAAGTCTTTTTATATTTGGTCAAGTCGAGTCTAAAGTCATCAAAATCATGACTCGAGTCTGACTCGAGTCCAAGTCACATGACTCGAGTCCACACCTCTGCAAACCACCTCTCATTAAAATACTCAAAAGCATTCTTGTTTCTCGTCTCTCCAAATTGAAATGATAGTTTGGGTCAAATTGTAGCTTTTAAGTGCATAGAGGAAATCTGTGCTCCTCTGTCTGCCTCCCCCGACTCCCCCTACCCTCACCCACCTCCCCCCCACCATTTCCCACCTCACCCCCCACCCTCACCCGCCTCCCCCCGCCCTCCCCGGCACCCATTTCTCCCCCCACCCTCACCCAAAACCAGGGCTTTTCTTTCTGATTTGAAATATTATAATGTGTCTTTTCTTGTTCTGGTTGAAGTCCTTTGCTACAAACAAAGACATTTTAAAGCAGAGGGTGGTCTTCTCGCACCTCCAAAGTTGAACATGAGGTGGTGCTCCTGGTCGTTGTGGTTGTCTGGTTGCCCCGGAGACCAGTGCTCGAAGTCCCATGGCGTCCCATCGCTCCAGACCCACCTGTGATTCTGGGGACGCAAACACAAAAAGTCATTTAGTTGAGTTTTGTAAAAGGTTGAAATTATGGATCTATACAAATATCTGGATTAGGTTTTACTAGATTAGAGCTGAAGGACCATGTGCCCGGGGACTCTCCTGGTGCTGCAGACTGAACCAGACTGAACCAGATTGAACCAGACTGAACCAGACTGAACCAGATTGAACCAGACTGAACCAGACTAAACCAGACTGAACCAGACTGAACCAGATTGAACCAGACTGAACCAGACTGAACTAGACTGAATTAGACTGAACCAGACTAAACCAGACTGAACCAGACTGAACCAGACTGAGCCAGACTGAACTAGACTGAACCAGACTGAACTGGACTAAATCAGACTAATCTAGACTGAACCCGACTGAACTAGACTGAACCAGACTAAACCAGACTAAACCAGACTGAACTTGACTGAACTTGACTGAACCAAACTGAACTAGACTGAACTAGACTGAACCAGACTGAACCAGACTAAACCAGACTAAACCAGACTAAACCAGACTGAACCAGACTGAACCAGACTAAACCAGACTAAACCAGACTGAACCAGACTGAATTTATGTTACACAGATATTTTCTCCATAGAACCTGACTGACAACCTGACAGAGAATGTTAGTGTCCCTTTAAATCCACACTTCAGTGAAACAAACTGCTCTGATTGGTTAGAATGCTTGTTATGATTCTCAAATCATTAACGACAAAACAAGGAATAAAACCAGGATTTCTATCTTTGTGAAAAAGGTGTTGGTTATAGATTTGTTGTTGACAAAACTCTTGTCTCTTCAGCTGTTATGGTCCCAGCTGGATTCGTCTGCATATCTGGCAACCTGAGTCAGGGAGAGTGGGAGCGGCTGCAGTACCACTTTTGGCCACATGTTTACAGACTGCTCCTTTAACCTTTCGTAGTTGTAGCGTTTACCTGATCTGTGTAACCCCCGAGCCAAGTGTAGGCGCTGAACCCGGTCACGTTCAAGACCGAGTCAGAAATGAAATCGTTCTCCTGAAGACTGTGGACGGACGCCAGGTTTGCACCAGCAGTGAGGCACACGCTCTGAGGGAAGAGAGAAGGGTTAGTCCTGGGTCTAAAGCCTCCGTCCTGGGTCTACAGCCTCAGTCCTGGGTCTACAGCCTCAGTCCTGGATCTACAGCCTCAGTCCTGGGTCTACAGCCTCAGTCCTGGATCTACAGCCTCAGTCCTGGGTCTACAGCCTCAGTCCTGGGTCTACAGCCTCGGTCCTGGGTTCTGGTACCTCTGCATTCTGCCAGGACTTTCTCTCATTGTAGAACCTGAAACAGCGAGACCCAAACTGAGTCCAGTCGTCCTCGCAGCCTGAGACACAGAGAACAGTTCACACTAGGGTTTAATATTTTTCCCGAAAATGAGACGTATTAAATCCCGGGAAAAGACGACGCCTTTCCTGGGAAATTCCGGGAAATAGCTGTTGTTTGTAGTTGTTGTTTTTAGCCCAAGTAATGTATGATATCACTCAAATATATAATCCAACAAAAGCTGCCGTCTCCACTAGTGTTTCACTGAGCGACTTGCTAGCTTTGCTAAAGTAGCCATAGCGTTTTCAGACGTTTTGTTGATGGGCTTTCTTCAGGAATTTCACTAATATGAGATTCTAAATGTCTGCCCAATCCACTTGTCGACCAGTGACGTGCGGTGTGGTTTGGAGGCACTGACTTCAGCCCTGTCAGATGAACATATATCATATAAATCAACAGGACCTACAGAGCGGCTTATTCACAATTAGTTTGGCTACAGCAGAATGTTTTCCATGGCCCGCATTATTTGCTCAAACAAAACGCAAAAGTTCGTAAAAGGCACATTTCCAATTGTGTTATGGGTCTTACCTTAGTTATTAATGAACAGCACAGACCAGTTTGGTTCAGACCAGTTTCATGTTTAAGTCCAGATAATAGTTTGAGCGCAGATATGTAATCCCCCATTTGGAAATAAGCCCAAAGAGTTTTAAATGCTCACACTCAGAGAGCAGCCGTCCTCCTGTGGACTCACCACCTGCAGAGGGTCAGTGAGGGGCTGGTGCTATGAGACTTGGGTGGCATCTCTGACTGCCACCCCCCTGACCCAGAAATGGATTAAAGGGTAGAAAATGGATGGATGGATGGAGTTTTAAAGCGTAAAACAAAACGGGTGCCACCTCCATAAACTCCTGTGTTTTCGCTGCAGCGGCTCTCGGGCGCATCCAATATCTAATATCAACCTTCTTACCCTTCTCCTCTCTTCCTTATCCTATCGTCATTGGAAGCAGAACATTACCCTAAATGCATTTTATATGATCTTAAAATGTGTTATATGTATGTTAGCCAAACCTGTTGCTGCCCTTAGAAGATATAAAAAAGAAAGGAGCTTTCTGATAGAATTGGACGTAGCCAAATTCTGGGCTCACATGTGCCCCGTACCCTGAGGCTGGCCTCATTACAAGTCGTGGTTTAGCGCGATTAAGACCCATATTTGTTTCAAAAACACAATTTATGAGCCATCCTCTCAGCTGTAGACATGTTGATTGTAAATGAAATATGTTTGAACTTTGAACAACAATAAACGTGCTCTATAATAGGAGTGCACTGGATTTTTAAAAAAACTTTCATTTCCCGTTTCCCGTCATAATATTTCCCGGGAATCGGGAAATAGTTTTGATCAGATTTCCCGGGAATCCCGTGTCCCGGGATTAAACCCTAGTTCACACACGCACTGACCTTGGTCTCCTTGGTTCATCTGGGAAGAGAAAAGATGTTTAATATAAATACGTCCATGTCCAGAAGAAGAGCGTGTCCAATACTTACAGCTCGTCCAGTCCCCAGCGAGACAGAGGCCAAGAGCAGAGCGAGGAGGGCAGCAGCCATCTGAGGCACATGAACGTGTGAGGAGTTTGTCAAAGGTTAAATATAATGTAGACTTACCTCTGGAGATGTGTGGAGTCGCTGTGGCTTTGGGAGAAGGAGAAACACATTTATACACCTAGGACCAAGGAGGAGCAGAGGGTTCAAAGAGACAGGTTTGACTCGTTTCTCTGGGAAATGCCTTAAAACAAGCTCTGCCTGTTGACATTTTTTTTGGCTTTGCCTTTTAAAAATACAAGTCTAGTGTAACCTGTGACATTGTGCTCAAAGAAAAAAAACACAATAAATAAATGAAATAAAAAATGAAATGTGTGAGAGAAACAGAACTCAGTCTGGGAGGATTTGGATGAAAGTTGTGGTCGAGTGAACATTTTGTTTGTTGATGTAAATCCCCGTCTGGATGTTTTTTAAAAGAATGGAGCTGCCTCTAAGCAGAGGTTTGCACTCCACGAGAGTCTTTACAGTTTTAGTGTTTTGCCGTAGACTGAGGCCCTGTTCAGACGGAGACGCTGTGCAGACGATACAAAGCCATGAACAGAAACGACCGGCTCCTTTTGCAAATACTCAGCGTTCAAACAACGATGAAACATGATGTAGTTCTAGCTTGTGGCCAGTAGGGGGCAGAGGAACTTTACAACACGCCACACGCGACCCCCAGCCCCCCCACAGTATGCTCACTTCCTCATCAACATCATCCTCAGGCCAGAGACGGGAAAGAACCAACATCATTCTGTAACAGCAGCAGCGAAAATGGAAACAGCTGTGGTTTGGTTTGGACGAAGGAGTAGAATCCTCCTCCGTTAGCAAGGCACATGTAGCTAGTTAGCAAGGCACATGTAGCTAGTTAGCAAGGAACATGTAGCTAGTTAGCGAAGCACATGTAGCTAGTTAGCAAGGCACATGTAGCTAGTTAGGGAAGCACATGTAGCTAGTTAGCGAAGCACATGTAGCTAGATAGCGAAGCACATATAGCTAGTTAGCGAAGCACATGTAGCTAGTTAGCGAAGCACATGTAGCTAGTTAGCGTACCCGCCGCCATTGATGTTTACGTTTGTTAGAGCAGAGAATCCACATCTTTTTCTTTTTCAAATTATAAACGGGAAGTTTATCATTTGTGAAATTATAAACTTCCCGTCTCTGCTGATGGCACTGATAACCACTCCCCCAGTCTGTGGACCAGTCCTCTGGATCCAGACCAGACCTGGTTTCACCTGAAAACCTGCTTTCTCCTCAAAACTGGATCAACAGGGACGACATTTTTTCTGTTATTTCAGGTTTTCTTTTACCCTGGATTAGAAGGAGACGCCGAGGCTCCCACAGTCTGACTCTGATCCTTCTCACAGAATGATTTTGGATCCATTTTTGGTAAAATCTCAAAGAAAAAAAAACAGTAACGAGCACTAACTGTTATCAGTATAAAGTATTAGTACAGTATAGCACAGTGTAGTATAGTACAGTACAGTGTAGTACAGTACAGTGTAGTACAGTATAGTACAGTATATTGTTACATGAGCAAGATGGCGCCGGTGTGTCTGGTACGCCGCTTGGCTCTGCTCAGCTCTATTTGTTTTATGTTGATTTTAACATCTGTCACAAGGACCATCGACTCACTGCTGGTGTATAATCGTCAAGAATTGCTCAATCTAAAAGAAACGGTGCAATTGTGTACTATACGTGAGGCAAACAATCAATCAATCAATCAAATTTTATTTATAAAGCGCTTTTCATACATAAGATGCAACACAAAGTGCTTTACAGATTGGTTAAAAACAATCCCGCCGACCCAAGACCCCTCCCCCAGACCACCCAACAGACCCCCCCCAAACCACAGACAAACACACACACACGCGCTCATGAACACTCATACACACACACACACACACACACCAGTAAAACAATAAAAACATGATGAGAGACTTGGCAGGGTTCAGATGCAACCAGCTGAAAAAGCGTCATCCAAGGAGCCGTCTGCACCAGGAGCAGAGAGCCGCCCGTAGCCACAGGGGACGACACAGGACCCAGAGGAGACATGAAACCGAGGCCCCAGGCCCCCACCAGGCCCAAGAGTCCGACCCCCGCAGCCACACCGACCACTGCTCCCAGTGCAGAGGGCTCCTCCAGAGGAAACACTGGGTACACTAAAAACAATACAATAAGTAAAACACTAAAATGTGAGACTAAAAGGAACACACAATACATGAATAATAGCAATAGCAATATAATAAATAATAAATAATAAAAGATAAATAGAATGGAATAATAAAAACTAATCAAAAGCTACTCTAAAAAGGTGCGTCTTGAGCCTACTTTTAAAAATATGAACGTTCTCTGCGGCCCTGAGCTCCTCCGGCAGACTGTTCCAGAGACGGGGGCCGTAGTGCTGGAAAGATGCCTCGCCGTGAGTGTGTGTCCTGACTTTGGGGATGGTTAGGAGTCTGCTGCCGGAGGAGCGCAGGGGCCGGGAAGGTTCATAGGATAAAAGCAAATCTGAAAGATAAGAAGGCCCAAGACCATTAAGACATTTAAAAACCATTAAAAGAACCTTAAAATCGATTCTGAAACACACGGGGAGCCAATGCAGCGATTTTAAAACCGGTGTAATGTGGTCCCGCCCCCTGGTCTTAGTCAGGACACGTGCGGCCGAGTTTTGGAGTAATTGAAGACTTGCAATGTTCTTTTTGGGAAGACCAGAGAGCAGGGCATTACAATAGTCAATGCGACTGGTGATAAAAGCATGCATCAGCGTCTCCGTGTTGCCCCGAGAGAGAATGGGGCGGACTCTGGCGATGTTCTTTAGATGATAAAAACCTATTTTTGTGATACTCTTGATGTGAGGAATAAAAGTCAGCTCAGAGTCAAAGATTACGCCCAGATTTTTCACTTGTGATGATGGATTAAAAGAGTGTGATTGGAGTTTTGATAAAAGTTTCTCTCTCTGGGCCTCAGGACCGATGACTAAAACCTCAGTTTTGTCCTGGTTAAGCTGGAGAAAGTTTTCTGCCATCCAGGATTTCAGGTCTAAAATGCAGTTAAAAAGAGCATCCATTGGCCTGGTGTCATCAGGAGACATGGAGATGTACAGCTGTGTATCATCTGCATAACTGTGGAAGTTAATTCCATGTCTCCTGACGACACCGCCAAGAGGGAGCATGTACAGGTTAAAAAGGACTGGACCTAAAATGGAACCCTGGGGCACACCACATGTGATTTTATGGACCTGAGAGGAGCAGGTATCCAAACTTACCATGAAGGATCTGTCTGTTAAATAAGAAGTGAACCATTTGTGGACAGCACCAGAGAGGCCGAGGTGTTGTAGGCGTGATAAAAGAATTGTGTGGTCTACTGTATCAAAGGCAGCGCTAAGATCCAGTAGAACCAACACAGTCACCTTTTTGAAATCATAACTTAGTCTAAGATCGTTTAAAATCTTTAAAAGAGCAGTCTCTGTGCTGTGGTTCACCCTAAAACCTGATTGAAATTTCTCTAAAATTTGCTGCTGATCTAAAAAGGCATTGAGCTGGGTAAAAACAAGTTTTTCTAAAATTTTGCTTAAAAATGGTAAGTTGGATACCGGTCTGTAGTTGTTAAAATCATTAAAATCTAAATTGCTCTTCTTCAGAAGGGGTCTCACCACAGCCGCTTTGAAGGCTGCAGGAAAGACCCCAGTCTGAAGAGAGCAATTCATCAGGTTTAAAAGCTCCTCTCTAAAAGATTCATAAAATGACTTAAAAATGGAGTGGGGACTGGATCTAAAAGACATGTGGTGGGCCTCACTGAGGAGAAAACTTTATCAAGCATCTCAGCATCAACCAGGACAAAACTGTCCAGTGTTTCCTCTGGCGAAGACAAACAATCAGATGTGTTAAAAACAGTAGTGCGGTTGGATAAAATGTTACATCTGATTGTATTTATCTTCCCCGTGAAGTGGACTGCAAAATCCTCACAGAGGGAGTCTGTGCGGGTTAAAAGAGACATGCTAAAATCAGGGTTTAAAATGGTGTCGATGGTTGAAAAAAGGATTTTTGGATTATTTTTGTTCTGGCTGATTAGATTTGCAAAGTATTTGTTCTTATGATTTCTAATTGTGTAATTGTATGCTTTTTGATTGTTTTTATATATTTCGTAGTTGATTGTTGTTTTATTTTTCCTCCATCTTCGTTCTGCCACCCTGCACTCTTGTTTCATTTTGCGTACTTCTTCATTTCTCCATGGGGGTGCAGATTTTGTTTTTATGATTTTTGTTTTTAAAGGAGCCACCTGATCCAACGCAGAACTAAGTCTACTGTTAAAATCATTTGCTATAAAATCACAGGGGGCAGGTAAAACCAAGTGGGGAGTGTTGTTTAGGATGTCGATAAAATTTGCAGCCACTTCAGGGGTTAGATGTCGCTTCCTCACGGTTCTCACAGAGGTCTCACGCTGTATAAAACCAGTGATGTTAAAAAACACACAGTAGTGGTCCGAGACAGCCAAGTCGACAACAGAGGACACATCCGCAGTCAGGCCATAGGTAATGACCAGGTCGAGGGTGCGTCCCCTGTTGTGTGTTGGCTGTCTGACGTGTTGGGTAAAATCCATGTAATTAAGAACATCTAAAAAATCTAGGGTAAAATTGTCAGAGGGATTGTCAATGTGTATGTTAAAATCACCGGTTAAAATTATCATATTGTAAGAATTGTGTAACTGTGATAAAAACGCTGAGAATTCAATAATAAAAAGGCTGCACTTTATAGGTGGCCTATAAATAATTACTGTTAAAATTTTGGGGTTGCTAAAAACAAGAGAGTGATACTCAAAACTTGAGTATTGGTTAAAAACAATAGGTTTGGTGGCCAGGGTGTTACTGCATATTGAGGCTGTGCCGCCACCTCTCTTTCCTTCTCTTGTTTTAAAAGCAAAGTTAAAATTGGGGGGGGAGGCCTCTGTAAGAACAGCCGGAGCATCCGGACCCAGCCACGTCTCAGTTAAAAACATACCATCCAGCTCGTGTTCTAAAATCAAATCATTAACAGTAAAAGTCTTATTTAAAAGGGAGCGTACATTTAAAAGGGCAAACCTGATGGTAGATGGGTTGTTATTGTTGATGGGGAGTCCATAGTTCGAAGTGGGGGGAGCAGAGGATGAGAGAGGGCAGGGGGAAACAGTGATGAGGTTGGTGAAGGACGGTTTCCTGGGTATGGACGGTCTGTAGGGGCGGGGTCTGGACAAAACTGTAATTTTGTGCTGGGGAAGAGAGCAGGGGTTGATGCTGGGGCACAGACGGGCAGGAGGGATGTGGGATGTGGGGGTGGGTTGTCAGAGGTATGTAGGATGGGATTGGACTGCGTGGGTGATGTTGGAGATTAGGTACCGGTTGCCAAGTGGGTTGATGTGAAGTCCGTCGGGTGTGAAGAAGGGGTAGCGGTTCCAGAACAGATTAAAATTGTCTATAAAACCAAAGTTGTGATGGAGTGATGTTTGATTGAGCCAGGTGTTGAGTGATAAAATCCTGCTAAAACGCTCCCTGCCGCGGTTCATAGTGGGCAGAGGACCGGAGATAAAAACAGTTTTCCCTGAGTTTGATAAAAGGTTAAAAAGATCCTTAAAATGGCGTTTTGTGGTCTCGGATTGGCGGAGTGAAGCGTCATTTGTGCCGACATGAATTATGATCCGGGTTATTGTGGAGGGTGCTGTCTGAATAAGTGAGGGTAGTTTAATGAGGATGGTGGGGACTGTGGCTCCAGAAAAACAGTGTGTGATGGCATTAAAAAACTTGCAGTGTCTGATAATAGAATCCCCCACCAGGAGCGTGGTTGGTGCAAACAGAGGCCGCGGAGGGGAGGGTGTGACTGGGGTGGGACCTGGTGGAGAGCAGGGGACAGGAGAGCCTTGGGGGGTGCCCGGAGCGGAGCCGCCACGAGCGGCTGTGGAGCAGGGTGGAGGATCCGGAGACCGAACTGACTCCACTGTGGCCGGGTTGGTGGTGGTGGTAGTGTGGGCGAATGTGGGAGGGCCGCGCACCGGGCGGGGGGATCCACCAGGAGGCGAGGTGGCATCTGCGGGGGAACTCCTCGCCGTGCAACAGCGCAGAGACCCCCCCGCGAGTGAGGCAGCGTCCACGGGAAGAGTCCGCGCCGTAATGGAGCGCAGACACCCCCCCGCGGGCGAGGCAGCGTCCACGGGAGGACTCTGCGCCGTGATGTAGCGCAGAGACCCCCCCGCGGCCACCTCAGCATAGGACCTGCTCTGTGCAGCGCCTCTGGGGATTCCCTCCGCGTCAGAGCACACGGACCCTCCCACAGCAGGGACAGCGCTCCCGGAGGTATCCTGCGCCACTACAGAGATCCCCCCGGGGCTTCCCGCAGTTGGTCCTGCGTGACA